AATCTTATTTGGTTTTCGCATGGGAAATTGGGAGCGGAGGCACCGTGAAGAAGAATTTTCCCTGTGGGCGCGGCACTTGCCAAAAATAAGCTCCTCCCATAAAGTTCAAATGCCTTATTGATAGTCAATGGTCCTATGATGAAGTATGATATTTATTATTTTCACGAAATAGTCTGCGATCCAATTTGTCTTTTCATGATACGAACTTATTTATATTTCGTTCAATAAACCTATACAAGACTTATATCTGATGTATAATAAACATAGGTATCATGATGGAATTAACAAAAAGCAACTGTGTTATATCTATAGTCATATAATATTATATTTTTTCTAATTCTTCAAACACAGGGAAGTGCTGGAATGTTCAAAACGATATCTTTAGTACCTATAGTCCAACAAATAGATATAGATATCAGGAACATGATAAAATGATTCAATGGATCAGGGTGAATTTTACTAAATATAGACTAATTTTTTTTTATGCAAAGTTGAGCCAACAAAAAACACGGATGCTTCGTCATATAGCCATTTCTATAGAACAGGTGAGATGAGCGAAAAAGTACTCCAAGATTTATAAGACATTTTACATTTTCCATATTATTTTGAAAAAAGTGAATAGAATACTGATCTACTCATTCCACAGAGGAATGTCCTAGATAATAATATATAATTGAATGGAATATATTATAGATGAAATATCTCAGACGGTTAGTTAGAAATTATATATCCAAAAATACCTAATCAATGCAGCATCGTTGGTTAGGGAGAATGAACATTTGCAGAATTGGAATTAGAATAGGTGAGGAAAGCGAAAAAGTACTCCAAGTTTTATAAGACATTTTACATTTTCCATAAAATTTTGAAGAAAATGAATGAAATACTGATTCACTCATTCACAGATAAATGTCCTAGATGATAATAATTATAGATAGAATCCGAGATGGAATCCTTCTGGTGGTAGGTAGGTATGCGTTTTTTGCTTTCCAATGAATTCGAAGGATCTAGAAAATAATGTATAGAAGTTTGAAAAACTACTGCAACACGCTTCAATGGATAGCCAAACTAAATAGAAGTAGAAAATAAAATAGAAAAAGTGTGTTGATACATATTTAACTGAAAAAATATTTTTTAGAAATAATGTTTAATGCAATACAAAGTTTGCCAGGTGAGCTAGTGCCTGATATAACTATGTCTGATGCCACCATTCCCACCAAGTCCACTATAACTATGCTCGGTATTTCAGTCAGCAAAAGTCTTTCTAAGGATAATCATAATCAGGTCAGATCCATTAGAGCGAAATCTGCTTCACAAAAACTTGGATTTTCGTGTCTTGCGAAAAGCTGCTTTACACCTCAACAACCATTTTTGAGAATAATATATTTTTCAGTGATTTTATAGATCAATATTGAAAAGCTAATTCTGGGCTGATTCATTACCCTATTTTCGAATTTTTCGCTCATCGTTTCAAGCAAAAAAATCTATCAAAAGCATCTTTTATGACGATTTTGCAAGACAAAATGTTAGTATTGATTGTAAGCTCATTAACTATTCCATCTTGGAACAATTTGCTGCATATTTTTTAAAACAAACCTGTGGATTTGCTGGCTTTGGGCGAACTCAGCAGAGCCATTTTTGAAAATTAAATACTCTTCACTGATTTGATAGATCGACATTGGAAGGCTAATTTTAGGCTTATTTATTACCCTATTTTTGAATTTTTTGCTCAACGTTTCATGCAAAAAAGACGAAACGATTCGTCGAAATAAGCGGTTATTCAGTATACATTATGCATCTATCAAAAGCATAATATTTTATATGACGATTGTTCAAGACAAAGTGTTAGTATTGATTGTGAGCACAAGAACTATTCCATTTTGGATTTTTTTGCTGCATATTTTTTAAAACAAACCTGTGTTTCGGGCGAACTCAACAGATCCACTTTTAAAAAAATAATATTTTTTTCACCGATTTGATTTATCGATATTGAAAGGCAAATTTGAGACTAATTGATTACCCTATTTTCGAATTTTGTGCTCAACGCTTCGAAGCAAAAAAAAACACCAAACGATTCGTCGATATATGCGTTATTCACTATACATCATGCATTTCAATCAGAAGCATATTTTATAAGTCAAAGTGTTAGATTGTTAGCTCAATAACTATTCCATTTCAGTGAATAACGAATCGTTTCGTTTTTTTTTGTTCGAAACGTTGGGCAAAATATTCGAAAATTGGGTAATTAATTAGCCTGAAGTTGTGAAGTTGCCCCTCAATATCTATATATCAAATGAGTGACAAATATATTATTTTCAAAAATGGCTCTGCTGAGTTCGCCCGAAGCCAGCAACATACGTTTCTTTTAAAAAATATGTAGCAAAAAATTCCAGAATGGGATAGATATCGAGTTTACAATCAATACTAACACTTTGCCATATGAAATCGTTATAAAATATGCTTTCGATAGAAATACATAATGAACAGTGGATGACGCGTAGTTCGACAAATCGTCTTGTATTTTTTCTCTTTGAAACGTTGAGCAAAAAATTCGAAAATAGGGTAATTGATTAGCCTAGAATAAGCCATTCAATCTCAATATATTGAATCGGTGAAAAATCAATGTTTTCAAAAATGGCTCTGCTGAGTTCGGCCGAAGCTAGCAAAGCTACAGATTTTTCTGATAGAGAGGTGCGTGAAAATTTTGGCATAGGAAAATAAATAAGCCTAAAATGAGCACTGCATTTTCATTATATCAGATCATCAAAAAATATTGTTTTTAAAAATAGGCTTTGCTGAGTTCGGCCGAAGCTAGCAAAGCCACAGATTTTTCTATGATAGAGAGGACCAGAAAATTCGGAAATGGGGTAACGAACTAGCCTGAAATGAGCCTAAAATTATGAGATGTGTTTCGTGTTGAACATCGAAAGTAGCTTTGTTAGCTTCTTCAGTATGTTTTCAAGTACTTAGGTATGTTCTCCAAAAGTTATAAAAAAATCCAATACCTACCTCCTCTCCCTATCCTCCTTAGATGAGGATTCCCTTCCGTGCGCTCCTAGCGAACAAAAATACATTATTTCATATTTAGTATGTATCGCTCTAATTTCGAAAATATCCTGTAGATAATATAATCATCATACCTATACCTATTGGTCAATTATCAAAAATGTACAAAATATCTAATCACCAGCCCCAAAAATCGAATAGGTACTGACAAAAGTTCAAAATATTAGTAATTATGAGACCATTTGACTGCCTTCCATGAATAATCAACCGGTTGTCAGTGAGCGGCAAAAAGTAATCAAGACGGTGTCGCGCTACTTCATATGTTCGGTGCCCTCGACGTGCCGCTCGATAAACATACGATTCCAGCTTTCTAGGAATTCTTCAGGTTGATCCCGCCCCTTTCGGAGTGGAAGGGCTAAGACAGAAAACTGATAACATTCGAATACTTTCGAGTGGCATATGGCCTCTTAAGGTCAAAGGGTGGAGAGACTTTACTTATTTTCTTCCTTATTTCTGATATCATATATGTCCTAATTATGGAAGAACAATCCTAAACTTTGCAGGGGAAGAGAGCTACCAAAGAAACATTCAATGATCAAATGAGGCTATCATCAGTGACATACACTGCTAGCCAGTAGTCATGGAATCATAGATATTTCCGAAAAATGATATAAAGACAAAAGGATGCAAATTAGGATGAAACTCTATGGATCTGAATTCATTATTTTTCAAAAACAATTTCTGAGTTTTCTGGTGGCATAATACATTCAACTTCCTTGTCTTGGCTGGTTATTTGTTCTATATTCAATAAAGGAATCAGCCGCGAAATAAATCAACAAAAAATTACCAATTCTATTATCCAATATTGGTCAATATTATTGTTCAATTACAATATCTGCCTTTTGCAGGACATGCTGAATTTGAGGTACTTTGTCCGGCGTCCTGTGGAGATCACTTGCAGGACACCAAATGTCCTGAATTTTGTGAGCTATTGAGGTGACATCATCAACATCATTGAATGAAGTTTTACTGCTATGAGTAAATATTTATCTGTAGGTTGTATTCAACACATGCAAGTAAGAAGGACAGATATATATACTGAGTGCTGAAATACTCCACCAGTTTTATTCAATAGAACTTATGTACTATGTACTTTTTTTTTGGAGACGCACTTCACTTTCTGAATGTTCACCTTCTGGATGATTTTCTTGGAAGCAGCACTTATGATCCCAATTTCATTAGGGTAGGTATATTATTGGCATAAATTCAAGTTTAAGTGAGTGGTGATAACGTCCAGCCAATACTTAGATAGTACAATATAGTAGTCAGGGAGAGAAAAAATGAATTTTGGAAGTACACCAGTGTTTTGAAAAGCATCATTGATCTACCACCTCTTAATGCCATTCTCATATATGATGTTTAAACCCCTCTCTACACACTATCATCATGTAATTGAGATCATGTAATGATAGCAGGAATAGATCCGATGAATGTGCGCCAGGGGCATATCATAAAGGTTGTTAGGTGATGAAGTTAACTAAGAAAATAATGAAAGACAAAACTCTTGTACTCATAGCCGGTAGAGTTTCATAATACTAACTTTGCTGAATGATGGGTGATTATCATATTGTTGTTGACATTTATAAGTGATGTGACTTTCAAGCATTGCTATGGCGTTTGTAAAGAAATGCCAGTGTTAACTTTTATTCCCTGAGAATAAAAGAGCCACTTAAATCCCTCAAATGAGGGATTGCAATTACCCTTTTATTCCCTGAAGTGCATAAGCAATTTTTTTTTAATACCATCAAACACTGACACTCATAATTCATTGTACTTTTTAACATTTCATTGAAAGTTCATTATTTCCGATTTTTAATTATTGATTGTCCTGCACTTTTAACTAATTTGTCCTGAAAATCAGAAATTCTGAGGTGGCAACCCCAACAATATCTTCTCTTCAGAATATTTTATTTTTTGTTGAAAAATTATGGACTCACACACTAGGGCTGCTGTATCCTCCGTTTTCCTAAACCTAAACTCTTTGAGAGCTTGTTTCACTTCTTGGGTAACTTCACAGATATTTACACTGCCTCCGGACTAGGACAATAAAACAAAATAGAATTGGTCAATAATTAGCCTAGATCCGAACTTTTCTCTTACCATTGTTGATTCTAATTTCTAACTAATCACAATATTCAAAAATGATTTCAGCTTTCAGCCCAATAAAATCAACACATGATAAACAGAAAACAGCATGAATAAACAGATATCACTGATATGATATCAGAATCAGATGTAAATAAATGAATCAGATTCAGATAAACTGATAAAATAAACAAAAACAACACAGCACAGAAATTAAAATTATCACAATGTCAAAAGTCTACTTCTTACTTGTCTAACCAGTAACCTTAGATCATACAGCCAGTAACCCTTTTAAACTCGTCACCAATCAGACTGCCTGACGCGAAAAGCTAAAAACCTGCATTGGGAACTCACCTTACAAGACGCAACCACAGGACGCAACGATCATATAAACGTTATATTATCTCAACACCCTTATCTTAACATTTTCTATCCATCCATATCAAATCGACATCTAGATTTTGGATTCGCAGAAGACAACGTCCAAATGCTGAAATAAAAACCTGGTGCGCGTGGTTTTGTGCAGTAAACAAAATAGGGTAACGAACATCAGAGGTGCCGACTGAGATTTTGACCTAATTCGGCCTAAATGACCCTTTTTCCTGAAAAATTACTTGAGTGAAAACAGACTTCTTTCAACTGAACTCCTCCCAAATAAACCTTTTTGCTGAAAAATTACTTCAGTGAAAACAGACTTCTTTCAACTGAACTCCTCCCGAATAAACCTTTTTGCTGAAAAGTATATTTTTCGAAAAATTATTTGTAAAAAAAATTGTCGCCTCGCAGGAAATTGAACGCGATAGAAGTCAGATACACAGTCCACTGAGCTACCACGCTACTCGAAACTGTCAACTATGAGAGAGAAAGAAATATTGTTTGTTAGCTTGTTTATCACAGCAGCACAGTAGCATATAACTTTCATGACTAGCTCTAGTCTCCAATACACTGACAGAAGTGACAGAACACTGCACAGTGACAGTGGGCAGTCACAGAACTGATAGAAGTTCATTTGTTTCTTTGTGTTTTTAAAACTGTAAAAATATAAAAATTATAAAATTGAAATTGAAGCTGAAAAGCTTGAAATTGAATTATTAGAGGCTGAAAGCCAACTAAACTAAATAAAATCATCAAATCTTAATTGGAAAGAAGACTTTTATGTTAACCAAATGAAAATATAACAAGTGGTGAAATGACAGTAGTTGAATTCTTTGGATGTACATTATTGGCCTTTGGTCCACCTTTTGCCATGTTTATATTTACCATCGTCCATGATCCTGTGAGAATCATAATACTTATAGCTGCAGCTTTCTTCTGGTTGCTGTCCTTGCTACTATCATCACTACTCTGGTTTGCTGTTGTGCCTCTTCGAAAGGACTTGGCATTTGGATTGGTTTTTGCAGTTCTCTTTCAAGAGGCATTTAGATTTCTCATATACAAGATACTGAGAAAAGCTGAACATGGACTGAAGAAAATCACAGATGATAGTGCTACTCTAATTGAAAATAAACACATACTAGCTTATGTGAGTGGATTAGGTTTTGGAATAATGAGTGGAGCTTTTTCACTAGTTAATGTAATAGCTGACTCCCTTGGACCTGGTACTATGGGTCTCAAATCTGGTACTGAAATGTTTTTTCTCACTAGCTCAGCTATTGGATTGTGTTTCATTCTACTCCATACATTTTGGAGTGTACTATATTTCAATGCTTTTGACAACAAGAATAAGTTTCAAATTTCATTTGTGGTTGTATCACATCTACTTGTATCATGTCTAACACTGTTGAATAGATACCAGTATTATTCTGCCTGTATTGTACCATTGTATGTAATTTTAGCAGTCACTGGTTGTTATGCTTTCAAAGTGGCTGGAGGCTCATATGCTTCATTCAAAGTATGTATTTCTTTTAAATAGTAGGATGATTTCCTCATTCCTCAGCTTTCAACATGTTATAGGACTGAATTGGGCCAATTCTCTCTGAGTGTATGGAGCCAAAATGTTTTTTTTCTATTTACCTTAGTACTTACCTACAAAATTGTATCAACATAATACCTACACATTTTAACAAATTCATATTTGTTGCTGTCCAGTCCATGGTCCATGAACTCAAAGGTACCAACCTTTTTTCCAATTACAACTATAATTAATAATCTTGGTTTTCCTTAATTACTCTCAAATATTTGTGATATGAATATAAGTATATGCTCTGTAATTTGTAGTTACTTTTTCTTACTTGATTCCACAAGACTTATCACAAAGTATATGATAGTCATAAAAGTACAGGGTCATTTTCATAAAAGTATATTTTTATAAACAGAACACCATGTATAAAAGGATGCCTCATTTTTCAAGTCAAAATAAGTTTGCACACACTTTGTTACAGATCTACAGAGCATTAAAGTTTCAGGATTTTTAATTTTTTTCTTTTCAACCCTGTCAGGAAGTTAGGTATATTTTAAGGTTTACATCATACAGTGTGTGCTGAGTGATTATAAGAATATACAGGGAAACATTTTTATGGGGTCATCAAGCTTTTTTTGTTCCATACATTTTTGGTGGAGCACCATTGGTAAAATTCGAAATGAGAGCTAGTGAATTTTTCTTTTAGGTTCTCTGATAGGAAAATTCTATAGATGCAGTGACATTTTGGGGCAAATCATCTGATTTGTCCTTACTACACGTGTATTGAAATAACATTCATATTTTTATTTTATAGAAACGAGAAGAGAAAATCCCAAAAAATTTGGAATAATGTATGAATATTGCTGTTTTCATGCTCCATAATATATAGAAATAGTAAATATATGGTTCTAGGACAATATTATACCAATGACGGCTAAATGGACTGTCTGACGAGTACTACCCGTCAGACAGTCCATTAAGACTCCATTTCCCTCTATTATCTCTAATTACTATTTCTATATATGGCCCATCGCCTATACGATATCTCAACAAAAATGGGACCAAAATGAGAGGTACTTAATGGCTATATTCCGAATTCAACTGGTCAGTACTGTAAGTTGATCCACTGACTCTGCTGAAAATCTGTGTACCGAAATATAAAATCAAAAATTCACTACTGTAATTCGGGACACGTTTTCGTGGTTTTCATCAGTAGTAGTTTCTCGTTTATCTGAACTAGATGTTTAGCCTCCTACTTGTTATAAATTTTGGAAATTTAATATTTATGGAAGAGAAATCGATTCTTGTATCCTCTATATAGTTTCTACGATTGTTGACGATGGCGATTCAAGTTCGAGTGATGAAGAATACTTGGACATTTTGTTGCCATACATTTCTCATGATGCACCAGATTGAGAATTGAGATTCATGAAAATCGCAAAATGCCTTAATAATGATGAATTTTAGGAGACATTCCAGGTTTAATTAGTTTATTTAGCCAATGCTGCTCCTTTCCTTACCTGCTTCTATTACTTCATACTCCAGGTATTTTCTGATATTGAGAATCATTTCATCAATAACGGAAATGAATGTTACATATTCCTTCCCCCTCTAAAATATGACAGTTCACTGAAGCCACACTACCTTTTGATACTCAGCAATTCCAGCAGAATGTTGAGTCGAAATATTTGGAATGAATAGTATGTCTGCTGACAAGCATCTGTCACTTCCAGTGAATTTTTGATTTTGGAATGGAAAATCAGCAGATTCAGTACTGTCAGTTGAATTCGGAATATAGCCTTTGAATCTATAAGATAAGGACGGAAAGTGAAGGATGGAAACAGCCATATTGGTTTGACAAGTTTCGTATTATTTTTTCCCTACGTCGGCATCAACGTCTATTGGTCGATTTCTTTACCTGATCTTTACCTATAGAGACAGAAGTTGGTCCCGCTTTGAGTACAGCTATGCTTCATATATTATAGATGACAAGAGATATACGACAAAGAGTCAATGTCAAAGTCAAAAATCTCAAAATATTCGAACTTTGGAACGAATATTCACAACAATATAATAATAATAACCTATTATTAAACTGATATTAAAAATAAATATTAACATTTTGGGTTTTCGGCAATTTTGCAAAATATAGTTTTTCGATAGTATGGGTTTGAAATGTATTATTTGTGAAACCAAATTTACTACACGAACCAATTTGAACAAACACATGAAGAACATTCATAAACTCAAGCCGACGACGATGTGTTATGATAGTGATAGATCTAAGTGGAAAAATAAATGCCTGGAAAAGGGTTGTAATAATTCCTTTCGGAATAATACAGATTTAATAAATCACTTATCTGAAAGTCACGACATAAAAATTGAAAGTGAGGAAATAGAATTTGTTGACAAAGATGGTAGGTACTAACTGTAGGTATATTGTTAAGTATATTTTTCGAATAATTTTGGTGCAAGATGGGTGGTGAGTACCTACTTACTTCAAAATACTTATCACAGTGAAACACAAGGGCAATATCATGAGAAGGTTTCACCATCATGAAACCTTCCAATTTTCAATTAGCTCTTGCTAAGACTGCAAGTTGCCATTGAAGTTCATTGGTGTCTGTATGGCATGGATATAATACCTGATTCATGGTGACACAATATTTTATTAACAGATTTTTGACAACTATCTGTACTGAACCTCATTTTCATATTTCAATGTAATAATTGGTTTAAGACCAATAATTTATTATTGATTGGATTTAGCCATTTTCGGAGGAAACGGTGACAGATATAGCGATTTTTACAAGAGTACCTTTTTTATGTAAAAGGCATTGGAGAATCATAATCAGATATAAAAATGGTAAGAAATTAAAGCCTAAGAGGAGTAGGGTCAAATTTACCCAAATACCCCCCTGGTTTGTACGCCCCTGGTTAAAGGTGACAAAATCCGGAAGGCTCAAATTGATGAACCTACAAAGTAGCTTTCATGTCCCAAAATTGGTTGCGATAGCTGCAGTGGTAACGAACCTATAAAACGAAAAGTAGTTTTTGAAGGTCATCTTCCAAGGGCCCTAGCTCCCTGAAGAAGCGTTTCCGGACCCATGTTCACATGCACTTTTTTTCTAATTTTCGTGTGTTTTATCTACCCTAGAAGTTTGTAACATGATCACCGGAACACCCTGTATAGGGTGACACAGGGTATCGGGCCATCCCTGTAACTTCTGCATTCGTCAACGGATATTTCTGAAATTCGGTACAGTTATATAAGCAATTATTTCGGATTCGATCACATTACAATCCAATATGGCGGACTTCCGGTATTTCTGGAAATGCCAGCAACTTTGTTTTTTCAAATGAAACACCCTGTATATTTTTACATATTCAAGTTCAACAGGTCGAAACAAGTGCAATCTCAATTTCAAATGTAATTTTTTCGAAAAAATTTAAATTAAAATTGTTTTTTCATTTTACCTCGTGGATAAATGAGATGTGGTCAAGACTATTCATAATGAGTCACACATAACAGAAAAACATAATTTTTTCTGAAAAATTATTTTTTGTGTCACTTATCCAGGAATCAATTCAGCCACATCACTTTTTGATAAAAAATTATATTTTTTCAAATGGAACCCCTATGGGCCACCTACCCGTCTTTCTAGAACATACATTAAGGAACAAAATGACATATCATTTTTGTTTTTCGGTGCAGTAACAAATTGTATACATTAAAAAATCAACAAGTATTTTATGAATTTCCTTGCAGTTAGAATAATTTTTCAACTAGGTAGGCTGTGGAATAAATGACATTTGACATCAAGATTGCACTTGTTTTGACCTGTTGAACTTGAATTTGTGAAAATATACAGGGTGTTCCATTTGAAAAAACAAAATTGCTGGCATTTCCAGAAAAACCGGAAGTCCGCCATATTGGATTGTAATGTGATCAAATTCGGAATAGTTGCTTATTTAACTGTACCGAATTTCAGAAAAATCAGTTGATGAATGCAGAAGTTACAGGGGTGGCCCGATAACCTGTGTCACCCGGTATACTACCCTCAAGGGCCCTCAAAGATTGGCGGTACATATATGTACCATCCCCCCACCACTTCTAATAAATAAGAAGTAATTGAAATTTCGATGTAGAGGTTTAATTTAATCGCCACTGACATTAAACCAATAAAAATCTAACCCAGAACCCTTAAAACAAAAACTCTTCTCCAAACGGTTGAAATAAAATGGACAACTTGTGAAACATAAAAAGAATCCTTCAGTGAAAGAAGAAGAAAGCATCATCTCATTGAAAATGCAGAAATCAACATCATAAAACATTCAACCCTGATATCCCTGAAATCCCTGATATTTCCCAAGAAACAATTGGGATTATGATATATTACAGTCCACTTATTCTTTTGTTTTTCCATTTTAGAGTTTCTGGACTGGAAAAGTGATATTGAAAAAACTTTCAAATCTAATTATGCGATCACATCAGGCTATTCCAAGGATCAACCGGTGACTTATTATTCATGTAATAGATCAGGTAACTTCACAAGTTTTGTTATGCTGTTCTTTTAAAAAATGTGTTGAATTTGTGGTCAACAATAATGCTCAATTTATAAACTTCGCAACAGTATAGCTGCTGTTGATGCTGATGTTGTCTTCGGAAGATTAAAATGTGCTTTGGTTGCCGCCACTGACACAAGCTACTAGGGTGAATGCACTGGTTAACCGACCGGCACTGGTTCTCGGCCGTTCTGGAGTTGGAGACAAAATAATAAGAGAAATATTCATTGTATAGTTTATTCAAAGTAAGTTGGATCGCCTGGAACAAGGAATGTCCGCCACGTGCACAGACTTCAAACAAACACCAAACGAGCCGACACCGCGCGATATATACGTTTTTTTGCGGGAGTTGCTCCAATTGTGTTTGGATAGACTATCCCATAAAAATCACCGGTATATGTGTTTCCGACCACTTCTCCTAATTCAAAATAGCTGACAGAGTGAAAAAAAGTCAAACTTTTCGCGCATAAACTTGAAATCAGTTAATTACCGTCTGTCATTGACAGAGGATGTGTTAGTGTGGTAGATGATACCAGGCTCGATAGCAGGCTTGGCTCAGCATTCTGCGAATTAGTTGAAAAAATAATCACGCCGAATTACATTCGTAAATAATTTCAACTAGATTAGCACTCGTCTTTGTAATTACTGTAGGTAACTAAACTTATTCTACAGTCCCTTGGCTGGCCCGATCGCCTGATTGGACACCGCTGGATGTTTTCTTTGGGGATACGTTCAGAAATGTTTAGAAATTTCTTGAAAGCAACTGTAAGAAGAGGATATCTTTGTTTACAAAATAATGGTTATAATTTTGAACATTTATTATGAATGTTATTTATTTCAAATACTGTTCGTTCCCACCATGTTTCTTCTCGTTTGCCCTACTTTCATATCAGAGTGAGAGAAATATATGAATCCATTTGAAATTTTCAAGAAAAAATGGAAAGTCAATTATTTTTCAAATGGTACCATCTACAGGGTATTTTAGAGTTGTGGTGACAAAAGCCTAGGTAGGTAGATTCCATGTGAGTGGGGCCAATACTGCCCCTCCACTGCGACCCCAAATGGGTCTATTGTGGCTCACCCCTAGAGGTTACAGTTCACCGTACAATCCTTATCTTTTTACAAAGTCCATGATTGAATTAGGTGAGATTTGTATAGGTTCTAAATTGGTAAAGCCAAATATGTCGAACCTTAGTCTCTCTTAGCAAGGGCATGAACATTATATGTGTTCAGCCGTTTCGTCTTCCTCACAGCAGAACCGACAGTCCGTTTGTTGGTTCAGACCCATCCTTCTCAGGGTGTATCTTAGACAACAGTGTCCCGTAAGCAGTCCTGTCAGAATTCGCAGGTTAAAGCTGCTCCATTCTCTAGGATCTGCCAGGTTATATTTTTCGATGGTTTAGTCGGAATGAACGCCTACGAATGGGTTAATCCTGGTAATTCAGAGCAGTAGGTAAGTCTTTTTTCCTCCTCCCCCAGCCCGAGATAGTTGTTTTGGCCGCACTTGCCGTGATCCCAAAGAATGATTCTGGTTGCCCTTCACCCCCTGGTGTCCAGGCACCCATAGCAAAGTAAATCTGTTGTGACAAAAGCCTAGTGGAGATTTCTCTCAACAAAATACGAAGAAAAGTTCTTATGAAATATTAACATGGGTTCGAAAATGCTTCGTTTCCGAGATATCTTGAAGAAACATTTCTCACCAAATTGAAAGGGTATATGTCTATTTCGTTTTCATGAATAATAATGTGAAATAATTCAGAGATATGCCGAGGTATGGTATTGTCCGTTTTTTTCGAAAACGAAGCAAGATACGAAAAAATAGCGGGAGACAGAGATGTTGTATTTTTAGTGGGTTCATCTGATTATTTGAGAAGAACCCGGAAAAAAACACAAGGTGACTTTTTTCTTAAGAAAAAGCTGACTCGCTCGATGGGTCTGGATCAAATTTAATTAGTCCTGTCTGATAATTGTGTGAATGAACCATACAAATTCCATTCAAATCGGCTCAAACGTTTTCAAGATATTGATAAAAATATGTTCATATTTTGTTAAGAGGACTCTCCACTAGGCCTTTGTCATGACATGTCTTGATGTACCAAATTCTCATAAAAACTTGTTTTTTTCAACTGGCCAATGCAATTACGCCCTCTAGCGTCCGTTCCGGAAACTTGAAAATTATTTCCAGAGATTTCTTTTTGCCATTTTCATCATAAATATGCTGTGCGGCAAATGGTTTCCGAGATGCAGCTTCCTTCCTTAGTTGTTTCACACTCCATACTTGTTTTGTCTGGATGGGGTTGTTCTTGACTTTATTTATTAATATATTGAGAGTATATTCAGAATATGTATGCATATTCTCAGATTATTCTAGGGATATTCTCAAAATAAACGCAATAGCGAATCGTGCAGGACTATCCCCAGCCGATGCTCCGAAACTTTACAATATTTACGAATTAAATATTGTAAAGTTTCGGAGCATCGGCTGGGGATAGTCCTGCACGATTCGCTGTTGAGTTCCAATTAACAGTGCTGCTCCTAAAGTGGCGCATGGAGTTAGTAACAAACCCTACACAGAACACGCAGAAAGATATGATGATGTGGTTGTGAGCATCAGAGAAGAAGTAGGACGGTGTATGTAGGTGGGTGTGGAAAACTACCAGCTGAGCGTGAGAGCGGGCCAGCTGCTTAAGTAGACCTCGGTCTCGGGGGTTAACGATGATAGTTAGCAGGCCTGCCACTGCGCATATGGTAGTGAGTACATTACTAGCCTACAAAGCACAGCTGAAAAACTCTGAAAAGAGAGCTGATGGGCGGTGCCTGAAAAGGATGTTAGCCAGCTCTCTTGAGCGAACCACATCAGTCATTGAAAACACTTGGGGTTTGCAAAAAGGTCCCATTGGGGACTAGTTGCTGACGTGGAAACGTCCCCCACCAGTACCAGTACCAGTTCTCAAAATATTCTGGGATACTCTAAGTGCATTCTTGGAAAAGTTCTGATGGTAATTTCCGGACGTTCTTAGTATATTCTGGCTAGTATTCTGAGGACCTTCTGGGCACGGAAAAGTTCGTCCCACTACCATGTTTTTAAAATATTCTCAGAACACCTTGTGAGAATAACATTCTGAGAATATTAAAATGTTTCAAGAAAATATTCCAGGAACATTCATAGAATCACTTGTGCTCTCTGGGATGGTTTGCTTGTATTTTGATTGAATAAGTATATGACTGTACCTACCTGAATTAGCGGTTATAAAAACTACTAAACCACAAAAATCATAATTTATCCTACCCATTCTGCGGAGCACCACACAGCAGCGAGAACGGGAAGTTTATAAATAGAGCCTAAAGAACTCAAGATGGAATAAAAATAGATGAATTCTTGGGGATAGACAACTTTTTATAATTTCCATATTTTTGTTCAGGAAAGATTCCATCAAGAGGCTCATTCAAAAGGAGAGGTAAAATCCAAGGATCATGTAAATTAAATAGTCGTTGCACCAGTATGATCAAACTTATGGAAGGTACAAATAAGCTTTCAGTAACTTGGGTAAAAACTCATTATGGTCACACAACTGAACTAGAACACTTGAGGATTTCAAAGACAGAAAAATCAATTATAGCCTCCAAACTTTTCTCGGGAGTTCCACCATCAAGGTAATAATAGATAATAAAATAACCACTATTTATGTAGGTGTATAGTCTTGCAATGCCTACTGACCATTATGATAAGTATAATCACAATTGCCAGTATCGTGGATTACCTACAGGTATGTGTATGTGTTTATTGATCCAGAACTCAATGTGATATTTTTAAGAATAAGAACTTCTACTCTCAATGAACTAACCTATCACAGAGGAAGGAAAAAAAACGTAGGACATCTCTTAGACCTTTGAGCCCGAAGTTGGTAAAAATACGAAATGTACTTATATTGCTCGAAATGGAATCAACTAGAGTACCTACACCAGGTGATCTATGTAAGGGTGCGAAAGAAATTTTGACTTGTTGGGTAGTACATAAAAATCATCAGGCGTGTATTATTGAATAAGTACCTACTCAATGCCAGAACTATTCTGAAAACGGTACACCAGGTAATGTTAACCTGATGGTGCTGTGAATCGTTCTGTCGCTGTTGATGAAGAGGTTCTACAACTAGAAGATGATAACCTCTCGATAAGTAATCGGATAATCAGAGGTTGGAAGTCATCGCAAAATATATGGTTTGGCGTCTAATTCATGAAAATCTTTTTCACTCATACCAACTGAGAGAATAACTAGTCCTCGAGCCGGGGGACCCTCCCTTTGTTGCTTCAAACAGTGCATTGAGTGTGCTAGTCGAACATTTTCTACGACATCTCACTTTTGCTATGATATGTTCTGTTAATGTGATCTATACAAATGACGTTTCATTTTTGCTGTTTTCGGAAGTGTCTGACTTCAAAGAGTCACTTCTAACCCCACCAGCTTATAGCTGTCAGTCCCAAGTCTGATAAAGGGGGAGGGGATGTGATGTGGTCGTACCGCAACTTTCCGCTGGGGTGTATACTGTGCCGCAAGAAAGGTTGACATCATGAGTAGCGGATTGCTACTGAGGGTAAAAGTTATTTCGATTTAATTTTTTTCTCGAATTTAGCTTCTATTCAAAGGGGACAACCCACTGAATCATTGTTCGCATTCTTATATAGATCACCCTGTTAACAAGGTGTTTTCGAAATTGAAGCGGCAAATGTATAAATGACATGCTTTGCTGTATTGCCTAGTTTCTATTCCCTCGGAGACTTGAAACAGCTTCATATGATGAACAGTGTTCTTCTAGACTAAGTTTTATACTTGAAAAGGTGTCTTGATTTATTGAGCATCTTTATTTTTGATTTTTTGGGGTTAATTTCGGATTTGCTCCAATCAAACTATCAGAAACTGCCATTTTGAAATGGGCGAGCGGACTTATAATGCATTATTGGCATTAGTTCTCGCACTTTTTTATGTAAATAATAGTGTATGCGTTGTTCGAAATTGTTGAATTTCGGAACTCATTTAAAACGTACCGTTATGGCCACCATTTGGCGATACGTCGAATAAATGGTGACGTCAGCTTTTATTCTGTTTCGTTATTGGCCAGATAATCTTCCATTCCCACTCACGAAGCAAGGTTGTCGAGTCACCAATTATAATCAGGTTATTAAGAAGATGTAAGAGTCCTGTCATTGAATGCAACCTAATAGGAGGAACCCATGATATTATAGTTCATTCTTGACTTTTTCGAGCAACCACCCTGTCCAAATATTTCTTATACTCCATAACAAGATATCATGTAAATTTTGGAGACTTGGCAACTTTTGTGCTGAATGCTGAGAACTGACAAGACCACGCCCACAAGTCGTGAGCCGTGTTGTCACGTTCATCGACCGAAAAATTCTAAAAAAATATTAAATTGAAAGGTATTTGAGTGATGATTCTATTTAAAAAATAAAAAAGAATTAGTCCACTCGCCTATTAATGAAACTCATAGTATAGGTTATGCAAAGCCAATTGGAAAAACACGTCGCCGCATGCCGTCGGTCCCTTTGAAAGTTCAAAGAGTGCGGCAGTGCGGCCCGACATTCGTTTGATGATCTGTTCAACTGACTTTACATAAACTATTGTCACGATAAAGTAGGGTTGTTTCCACCATGTCACGATATAATAGATGGTTTCTCCACCATATCGATTTATAAGGGGTTTGCTTGGCTTAATAGTTTGCGAGAGGTAATATTCGAATAGGCACTAATAGTTTAGGGGTAACTGAAAGTACGAGACTATATTCAAACATAACAATATCTAATGAAGCATGAAACATTATGGGTAGCAATGACAAATATGAATAAACAACAATGAATATAAAGACCTAATAACAACTTACATTATAAAGACCATTACGGCGAGCTCTTGTCAAGTCAAGAGTAGCCCCAGACCAGACTAATTTCGGAACCCTCACATCCAATATTTATATAGGTACATCATTTTATTAGATTTGCACGTTTCTCATGAGAGTTCCTTGGTCAGTTTTCATAGTTCAATGTCAATGGATGATTTGATTAATTTTATGTTTATAAAACCCTCATGGTTCCAAATTACTAATATACTGTATGTTCGCTACTTTACTCGTGATACTATAATGGCCAGTGATCCACTCCTGAAGATAATGAAGAATGCATTCATAATGGTCAAATCCAAAACGTGAAGTCATATCTGATACTTTGTGCTATTTCTGTTCAAGTATCATATATGGATTTGAGCTATGGAATTCATAATCTTTATAACTTCCGACTAAAACGCGTATTCGATATGGAGGATGAACAAATCATGCATTACTAGCCACAATGACACAATGTTGATGAACCATAAACATTAGCGGCCATTGAATTCGTGGTGAACTGTAGGAGAACACCAGTGGCAGAAGATGACCAAAACATTTCCGATGTGAAATTTGGATATGAGAAAATGAATATGACGTTCATTTCCCTTCATTTATCTATAAATGAAAATGTACTGCGTTTGAAAATTTCAGTACAGAAATTCAAACGATTGTCAGTGAATGTTGGTAGGAGAGGAACATAAATAGATAGAAATAATATTGAATTATAACTTTTCTTTGTACGGTTCTGGAACGAATCTGCTATCATTTTCAACATGAAAATGGAAAATTATGAAGATATTTTTTTCTGTTTCACTTTCTGTTACTGCTCAGTGACAGAAGTCGATAGGTTATAATGTATGAGTTACAGGGTGATTTTTAATTGGTCGATATAATGACAAAAAATACCCACAATACTTGATGGGTTGAGAGCGAAATCCATTACGGGTTGTGAGTAACTGGTTTTCAACAATCTTTGATTGTCATGTCACCCATGTTAAACAGATACGAATGAATTCTTGGTTGTATAGTAAACTATCACCTGGCTCACAATCATTGTTAAAGACCCTGTTTAAATTTCATTATTGTTTCAGGATTCTGGATTCATATAGGAACAATATTGACGAAGATGATCCATATCGGGAAAATTTCATAACTAGAAAAGATATTCTGAATATAAAAAACTCCTTGAAAAAAACAAAACCTTCGAATCTTCAGGAAAATAAACGTGAGAACAAGTTACCTAGAGAGGTGAATAAACCTGTTAATTTAAAGAAAACTCTATTATCAAAAATAATGAATATAAGGACTAAGTTACGAAATAAAAATATAAGTCAGTTAGATGATGAAGTAACTATTCTAATTGAAGGCCATTTGGATACGATTGATGAATTACTGGATTTGCCTTGCACTTCCAGTACGTCATATTGTAATCTGAGTGATGATGAGCCAGCACTGCCAGCAGCAAAAAGACGAAAACTAAAAAATAGTGAAATTCATGAAAGTAACTTTGGGGAATCACATGTTTCTCATTCAGCAACAGACGATCACAGCTATTTTGAATCATCAATATAATTGATTGGTGTGTATAATGTTTAAATAACTATTAGGTACCTAGTAGGTACCTAGGTACTTACCATAACTTTTCTCTTCGATCATAAAAGTTATAGAGTACCATATAAAATGATAGTTGTATTTTTTCAATAAAATGTTCAAACACTTTGCGTAATTATTATTATCCCACACCCCTAAAGATTGTTGATACCTGAATAAGGAAATAGCAGAATTTTCATAAATGTAAAAATTGACGCATTCAGCTGTTTAAAAATGTCAACGAAATAATAAAATAAAAACATTCCGGGGAATGAGCTTTTGCTGCGCGGAGAGGGTATATTTTTAGTCCTGTGCCGTATAGCTGACGACGTGGGAGCGTACTGTGATGTAATATTCATAACTATTTATAATGAAAATTCCACACCAGTGATTTTTATACAGGTACATACATCACAGCGATGAAACATTCGTAATATCGCAGTGTTGCCTGATCGCGACATTTCAGGGTTGTCATGTCGTAGATGTGTCTGCTTCTGTACATCGCAACGATGGAACATTCGTTATATCGCAGTGTTGCCTCATCGCGGCTTCTCAGAGATGTTCGGTACATAACTTTTCCGGTCCGGGTCCCTGCTTGATGGTACCTAATAACGACCTGTATAGCCCAGCAAACAGTCACTTGACAGAGTAATCGCAGCGATGTAACAATTGTGGGATGTTATTTTGTGTCCCACTCAATTTTCATCCATGCGACATCGCTGCAACAAGTTCTCTGCGATATAACAGCGATATATATTTTATGCAATATGTAATTGCGCGTTATTTGTAATGAAAAAGCGATGTGTTTTAAAAACGAAAAAGAAACTTTGGTGGTGTGATAATATGTACACCAGTGACTTTTGATAACATCTATTATTGATTATGTGTTGTTGAGACGTTTGATGGTCCCTCGATCGGGTCTAGCTCCTGTCAATCGTCTTTTCAGCGGCTCTATTCTTTGTTCCTACGAATCTCTATCAGAATGAGATCTGTAACTCGTATTTGTATCAAACATTTATGTAGTGTGTGTCGGCGAGATGTAAGCAAACTAAGAATATAGTTTGATAGCAATGTAACGAATATTTATGAATTCAACTTTAGTTGAGTATAACGTATATTGATGTATTCTTTTTCACCGAACAAGAATCTAAATAACGAATTTTTGATATATTCCCGCATTTGATTTTGCTTCTATGTACATCCCAGCGGTGCATATTATTAGTGATATCATCTCAGAGATGTCATGTCGCAGATCTGTTTGCTTCAATCCATCGTAGTGATCGATCGAACATTCGCAGTATCGCACAGTTGCCGCATCGCGACATCTCAGAAATATCATGTCGCAGATGTGTTTGCTTTATGAACATCGCAGCGATGGAACGTTTGTGATCTTGCACTGTTACCTAAACGCGACATCTCAGATATGTCATGTCACAGTTGTGTTAGCTGGGAAGTTAGTGATACGTGAAAACTTCTAGTTCTATACTCATCAAAAGTATTGTACCGTTATTCGGGTGCAAAAGCGAACACGACACTATTTATTTTCGATCTGATTTATTTCAACTTAAGGAACACTCATTTACAACAAATGTATATAACTACTATTTATGTGAAACGGTTCATATCACGCGATATATGACTGTCTCTTTTACACTCGCTACTTGTCTGACTGACGGCAGCTGTCCGGCCGTCCTTATATATCAGATCCCTTGGAAAGGCTTTGCTTGTCGAACGTTCTCGAATGATCTTCCGTACCCTTCCTTTGTTCTAGAAGTTTCTAGAACAATATATCTCTCTATAATTGTTCCATCGATTGTTTCGCAAATGATTCCAGATTCTTTTTCTGTCAGGTTATGTGTCGCCGTGACACATATTGGGTGTTCGGAAATACGCTGGTACATGTTAGAATCATTGGGATGTTCGAGAGTGATCCGACACGCGGGTTTTACTGGGTGATCGTTGTACTCCTGCCTTCCTGATGATGTTCTAGAGCCCCTTTAAGGGGCATATCATTATAGTATAAATTCGGCACTGCTTACTTACAACAATTGGTTGGAACACTAAACCTCCCAACAAACATTCTTTTGCGGTGAAATGAAGGCCCAATACATTGCTCTCATATCTAGATGTTGCGGCATTTTGGCATAGGAACTATCAAAATATAGAAATAATAATAATAATAATGGTTGATAATATTGTGATAAGATCTTCATTTTGAAGGTTAACCTCATACATTGTCGTGTTAGCGCTGATGGTCCTATATCCATTCAGCCATATTTTTCCAACGGCTATATCGTTAGAACGTTAATCTCTGTCAGAACATGACCAGCTACTCGTATTGTATCTATAAACTCATGAAGGCACTATTGGTGAGATGTAAACGGATCTAAACGAATAAGAGAATATTTCAAACTAAAATATTTTGATAAAAATATTTCAACAGATACTTTGATATTCTGACAAAAATTGTTCATAATATAATTCCATTCGGATAATCTTGGATCATTCTGGGAAAGTATACAGTATGTCTGAAAAAGTTTGTAACCAATGGAAATTTTTTTAGGAAAAGTCATTCCACATAAAAAGTTCTGCAAGGCCTTGAACTAAGAACGCGAATATCAGATATCGAATTCTATTCCAGTCGTATACGAGGTATGTCAAAAAATTGACATTTTGCTCAAGAGTAAAGTACGTTTATTTTCGACAATATCGGTCCCGAATTCTTTTGTTGTTTATTCATCAAAATAATTGGCGGAAAAAATACTGTTTTGTGAAATATTTTGTGTCGTGATCGTCGAAATAACAATGCCTTTCAAGTGTTGTGTTCCCTTATGTCGGGGGAATCATGTGGGTGGTTCAAAAGTTCATGCCTTTAGTTTCCCGTTGTATTCGTATATTATAGTCAACAAAATCATCTCTGAATTTGAGGAAATTTTCTTGAATGTTCATAATAAACGGGCATTTTAAATTCTCATTCTCAAATTTCTTTCTGAAAACGGTCATTTGCCTCGTGGCAATGAATGCAGAATTCATTTCAATGATCAAATTGCAACTATCATATTAACATGAACTACAAACACTCTGCATTTATCATGATATTTATCATGAAGATATTTGACTAAAAAGTTCCTAATTTCACCTTCTTTTTCACCTGTCTTCTGGATGGCATTTAGAACAAATTTCCCTTCTTTTTTCATCATATTGGACAATTTATATATAATTCAACTATAAATATGATTTTCTTGAGATTAATCCATATTTAGTGAAAAGAAGGAAGAATCATTCAAAATAATGGCGTGTGTAATGTCATTCGAAAGCAATCTATTGACATTTTACATCTCGTATTTTGATTGACTATTGATTAAATGGTCGTCATCTGGAATGCTTGTTCACTAAATATGAAAAACTCGCCATAAAAATCATATTTCCTGTTGAATTTTCTATATAAAAATGTGCCATCGAAGTGCATCATGAGTGTCCAATGACAAAATAAGAGCAAGTAGCTTCAAATGCCCCCAACACAAGGGGAGAAAGAAGGCGAAATTTAGAACTTTTTCTTGAAATATCTCAATAAATAGTGGTTTGTTCACATTTTCATTATGAAATTCGGTTTATCAGACGAAAATACGTGAGTTCCGAAAAAAATTGTCAAAAAACAAAAACCATCGCATGATAAATGCAGTTTTACCCTTAAAAATTACGGTTTCAAGTGTAACGATCCACTTGGGTGAAAAATCCAACAACAGAAAATTGAAAACACTCATCGGTTATTTTTTCAGGTAATAGGAATTCTCCAAGATAAATATAGGTAATTGTAACAAACGGCATGTCAATCAAAATAAAATACATTTTCCACAATTTTCTTTCGATCAATCTCACGATAAGTTTATGTTCTGCGGGCCCTGTATAAGTAGGTGTGAAGTTCACCTTCACCACAATTTTTGCCAATATATTTAATTCGAATGGGTTGCTGTAGGTGGATATTTGTGTTTTATCCTGGTTTTTGCTTTAAAACTTCGTTTTTCCATAATAAAATCGAATGGGGTGCGAAGAAGGGCTCAGTTGACGACTGGCATTCATTTTTAACCGGAAGCCCTTCAAAAAACAGCAAAATCGGCTCAATGATGATCTAAAACTAAAATCGAAAAACGCGGTCGCCTTATAGCGCTACAAGCGCTTGTCGTTTCGAGCCGCTGGTTAGGCCTCACTAAGTGACGTCACCCACACGGAGCATGCAGGCCTTGTTGTATCGGTGGTAACGGCACTGCTCGTTGTACCAATAAGCGCTTGTACTTGAATATCCCACTATGACGCATCTCGCAGATACGCGTGTTGTGAGTGAAGTCATGTCGTACACGCTTCTGGGCAGCATCAGGGTTGCGTTTAGGAATGTTACTCTGGTGTGTTGGGTGCACCCCAGTGTTACCTTAGAGCGTTTAGGTGGTTTAGGAATCTGAGAGTTTACTCAAGAGCGTCTTTGTTATTTATATCAGTTTTTTCCACCTATGATACATGTCTGTTTTGGATACTTGAGTAGTTAAGTGCACATTTTTTCCGTAATCATTTTTATTTGGCAAGTTAGCTAAAGATTCCACTCGAATTCACCCACCAAAGCGTTCAGAAATGACGGACACTCTAAGTACACGCCAACTGATGACGTCATCAACCTGGCTGAAAACACCCTACCCTCAGTCCCAGCACGCAGTGTCCCAGCTTTCTAAACGCCTTTATAGTGCCAACGGCAGCTAGCATCAGCCTCCTACCGCGGTACATATACTGCTATACCGTTACCATAATATGGTAACGGCCAGTAACGGCTATACTCATCAGAGTTATACCTTATGGATCAACATCAACATTACCTGACATGGTTAAAGCTGATAATCCCGTTATATTGTTTTAAACCGTGACGTAATTTCCGTTTGGGTACACCTTCCCTACCTGCCCTTGAGTTCACCAACTCCATAGTTGGTAAAGTTGGTTAAAGGTAAACTTGAATATTTGTTCACAAATGA